TAAGGGACAGAATGTTCCATAGGGCAAGGGCTGCCATGGAAAAAAGCATGCTTCCTAGCTCCCATCAGATGGTAATATTTAAGGGAAGGGATTAGGAGCATGTCCACTCTGTTTGGCTTAACAGGGAAAGTTGATTCCACAAATAACCTGGCCCTGTGACATATAGGACTTTAAAAGTGATAACGAATCTTGAATTGCATCTGAAAAACAATAACTACAAGCCAGTACAGCTTGCACAACAGAAGTATTACACAGGCAGATCCTAAGGTCCCCTATTACTGTGCACCCCACTGGTTTCCAGACCATATATAATTTGTTAATTCTTTAAAGAAGAGTGTAGTCCTATAACCCTTGACTGGAAATAACCATAATTGAAGACCAATTGAATGAATGAACTGAGATATTGTGGTATTGGAATAGCATTGCTATGATGAGTGAGCTCATCCAGTTAGTGACTTACTCAGTAAACACTAGTTAAATAAACCTTGGATTAGGGCAATATAAGAACACAAATCTTTAAGATGATAATGTTGTAATAATTCCATAGTTTAAATCTGAATTTTGCAAAGAAATATATTATTTCATCTATCCTTAAACTCCTGCCATTCAGTTTCATTAGATGATTCCTAGTATTACAAAAAAAATAGAAATGATATTTCACTCACTATTTTATGCACTCTTTAATTATGTCAACCACTATTATATTTCCCCATTGCTTACATTTTCTAAACTAGAAATCCCTAGTGCTGTATCACAGAGGAAGTGGAATGAATGGATGCATGTATTAGTGTTTATTTCCACCTCTGATTTTTTGCTGTATTTCTACCTATTGCTGGCATGTGGCTTTGGCCATATTTCCCTGGAGGAAACATATTTATCCAAGGAGAAAAAAACAACAGTTGCTGTCTTATTCCATGACTCCTGAGTTTACTTAGATTGTTTACTGAAGGACTTGAAAAAATAGTTTGAAAGTTGGTATTAATGGCTACCTTTGGATGGCATAACAAGTCAAAGTTAGAGCTTAGCTGCAAATACTTTGTACTTGCTACTTAGTTCCTTCTGCACCCTTGCCTGGATAATGAGCTGTCCGTTGTACTGTAAATTGGCTTGCCATATTGTACAAAGGAGAAGTAAGGGTAACTTCCAGATGGAACTAAAACAAATACAGGTTTCTTTACTTTGCTTCATTTTCACAACCCGAAAATTCAAATGCAGATTATGAAGAAACAGTCAGGTACAATAGTCATCTGATAATAAGGGAGAAACCAATGGCACAAATTATTAACAGCTAAACTATTAATTTGTCTTATCAATTCTCTCTGTGTAATTTTGTCCAGTTATGTAATCTTTAATGTTTTGTACCAATTTATCAAAAGCTAATAAACTAATTTGTAGTTTCCCAATTTTGACTCCATTTTTTTAAATCAAGTATTTAAAACTGGCTGTTTTCCAGTTGTATCCTGTAAATATTATGTTTAGGGACAAGAATAGTTATACTGAAAGACCTATACACATTTCACATATGGATTTTTTTAAAAAAAAAAAATCTTGGGTGACTTTGCTTATTTTTGATATTAAGGTCTTTAATTTACATCTTGTTTCTACCATTTATTCCATTATTTCAGACTGAGAAAATATATACTGTACATCTTTTAAGAGATAATACATATAAATAATTCACCATTTCTGCAGTCTTCAGTTCACTTTTAGCACTGCTTTAACACTCTTATTAGCATGTAGTCTGAGTATCTTCCCTGCTATTATTTTGCTTCTATTTCTTTTAAAAATATTGTTGGACTAAATATTTTTAATTCTTATGGAATATTCTCTACATTCTACTTTGCCCAGGATTGATTTGTTCTCCTTCTACTAATTTGTACAATATTTCCATTTTTTAATGAAAGAAATTCATGCTGGCACCTTCTTGGATTTCATGAGATCTCACCTACCCTGCAGTGTGGATTCAAGCCGAACTTCAATTATAGTGCATGTCACATTCCTCAAAATATTTTGGCCCTCTTAACTTTTCTTTTTAATTTTTTTTTAGCTTACCCTTCATTTTTGAGGTGATGTTCAACTATCTCGGCAATTGTCCACTTATGTATGCAGTATATTCTCTTTGGTAGCTTTGCCATCAATGTTTCCAGCTAGTAGTTTTCTGCTCATTTGATTACTATATACCAGGGATGTCAAACTTAATTTTATTGAGGGCCATATCGGTGTTATGGTTGACTTTGGGGGGCTGGGGTGGGCATGGCTGGGGTTGGCGTGACCACCTCAACATTGCTCATGTTGGGGGGCACATGTGGTCAGGGGGCCTGGGGGATCATCTCCAGCCAAGGAAGGCAAGAGCAGGGCGAGCACCATACCCTTGTCCACTGGAGGAGCCTTGCTGTCCCTCTCAGGCCATGCAGAGGACCCCCAGTGAGGCAGGCAAGCACTCAGTCCAGCCTTTCCCAAGGGGGCACCCAGCTGCGTTTACCTCTTCCTCAAGGCTCTTATTGTTACTGCTGCTACTACTACTGCTCCTTGGCCAAGTTGCTCATGGTGTGTGCGGGAGGGCAAAGTGTGTGGGTCAGAGGGAGGCCCACTCCCTCTCCCTGCGAAGAGACCCAGCTTTGTAACCAAAGCATCCTCAATGATATGATGGGAGACCACCAGGAGAGATCAGGAGAGGGGACAAGGGGATGGTGAAAGGGCAGCAGGGGCTGCTCGTGGCCAACTGCTAAGGCAGAACTTCCCTCAGACCCATCCTCCCTCTCATTATAATCTTCCTTCCTTCCTTCCTTCACCCCTTTTCTTCTTTTTCCTTCCCTCTTCATACTCCTTCTTCTTCCTTCCCCTCTTTCCTTCTTTTTGTTTGTCTTTCCTCTTTCCCTTTCTCTTTTCCTGTCCCTTCTTGGATACTCAAATGCAAAAGGGGAAACATTTCTCGATGCTTTGTTGCCTTGTGATCAAATGCCACTTTTTCTAGTAGTCTGTGGCCACTTAAAAGATTAAGAACAAACCAGGCTCAGTTTATCCCATGCTTGCTTTTAGTGGGGGCGTCCACAGACAACAGTACAGCAAAACTGTCAAAATGGTGGCTGTGATAGTTTATCAGAGCTCCTCTGTTTTTTATGTGCAACAGCTTTAGCTTTTAGGTACAGAGGTAAGTTAGTTGCTTTTCTATTAATACATAATCCTTAAAAGTGCTCTTCTGAAGGGACCCTGCCATGGTCTAATTGAGACTGGAAATATAGCAAAGGAAAATATTTTCCCCCACTCTGCTTTGTCCTGTTTTTCCCACTGGAAATGGCTGTTTGCAACACACAAGGAGGGGATACTTTTCTAAGAGCTCACAATTCAAGAATACTAATGTGAACTTGGATTGCCAATAAAGTCCTGTCTCCTTTGAGCCCAAGTCTCAAAGGATCCAGGATTGAAGCAGAACTGCATGAACTGAGGCATCTCCAATCAAGTTGCCATGCCTTGCTTTTCCTTCCTTCCTTCCTTCTTTCCTCCCTCCCTCCCTCCCTCCCTCCCTCCCTGCCCCTGTTCCTTTCTTCCTCCGTCCCTCCATTCTTTCCTTCCTTCCTCCGTTCCTTTCTTCCTTCTCCTTCTCATCTCTTTCCTTCCTCCGTGTTCAGGAAGAAGTGATGGGATTACCAGTGCTGCCAGTCTCCATGCTGCTGCTGCTGGCCGTTGGTATCCCACAAGGGTGGGCAGGGCTGATCCTTGTGAAAGGGAAACCTCATGGCTGCAAGGTTAGGAAAGCGAGGGGGCCATGGAGGTGCTGATTGGAGGGGGGGTGCTGATTTACAACCTGGTTGCATCCATCAAAGCCAGAATGCACTCAGCCTTGGATCCATGGGGCAGCCCTTGAACCAGCGAGGAGCCTCCCACCACCTCTGCCCTGACCCCTGGGTGTGCGCACAGGAGACAGCCAGCACCTGCGTCCTGGATGAAATTAGCCTGCAGGGCAAGACAGCCAGCAGGGACCCTGGACTCCACCTGCGTGTGCGCCCAGGGGGCTGGGTGGGGGCACCCGTCACTGGTTTCAGGGCTGCTCCGTGGCTTTAAGGCTGAGCATGTTCTGGCTTTGATGGCTGGCACCAGGTTGTAGATCAGTACCCATTTGACTTGGGCCGGGGTGCCGCAGGCCGGTCCTTCACTGTTTCCAGAGCAGATCCCTGGGCCAGAAGAAACCACAAGGTGGCTTGGATCTGGCCCGAGGGCCTTGTGTTTGACATGTCTGCTACATACTGACTATAGCACTGAATGAAACATTTTATCTTTCCCTATCATTGTTTCCTTTTCCTATGAACATTTTTCAGTTACAAATCTGAGAGCAGAGACTATATTTTATTTATTGATCTATAAGCCTCTTTAAAAACTTTTCTGCGTAAATTGTGCAGTACAAATCATTTAAATTAAGAAATGAGCATGCAATTCTATACATAAATAAGCTGTTTAAATCCCAGCAAAGCTTGTATGTTAGATTGTTACTTACACAGTGGTATAGTGGAATACTTGTGATAGTGATTATTGCAAATGAAATGTTGCTTTTGAATTTTTGTAAAAATTGTATTTTAGAAGTACTTTACCAAGTGCTTCTAAATCTATCAGTAAAATTCTTAGAACAATGAGCATGATGGACAAAATCTGAAAAACAGAATCTATTGTCTCTCTAATCATTTAGCTGCCTGGATAGGAATATTGATACCTGCAGCATATACATGCAATATAATAAATGCATTCTATGACTTCCATGGTTTTAGTATATTATTCAATCAAGTCAAACAACTTTTAGCAGTGTGTATGAAAGATGTTTGCAATTTCCTTCTCTTAAGGCCACAAAAATAGTTGAATCACTTAGAGCTGGGTGTAATTGGTGTTTATTTTGTTTTTGTTTTAAAGCTACCTTGTGTTTCAAGTAGCTAAGGCTGATGAGCAAAATTGTAGGTCTGGTTTGAAGCTCCTCCCCGGGGGTGCAGAACAGGAAGAGGTGGAGGTCAGAGGGAACGGCTGGAGTTCCCTGGTTTGTGTGTGAGGCTGAGTCCCGTTACCGCTTTACTCTGCTTGTGTCTTATATTACAGCAATGCTGCCTGCACATCAGTGGCCAGAGAGGGGAGAAGGGAGGAAAAGCCTGTTTACACAGAAAGCAAATCGCCTGGGGAATAATGCAGGAAAGGAAGTGAGCCGGCTCTCTGTCTGACTGCCCTAACTTCCTGCTCTCTCTCTCTCTCTCTCTCTCTCTCTCACACACACACACACACACACACACACACACACACACACACACACACACACACACACACACACACACACACAAACACACACTAGCGAGGAGGGGGGGTGGAAGGCAGAAAGAAACAAGGGGAAAAATCAGGGTCTCATTACAAGAGCAACAGAGCGTTTTAGAGGACTGTCAGCATGGAAAACCGGGGGATTCTACGCAGCTCTCTTTAAAGCGGCGAGAAGAGGCTGGAGAGAAGCCCACCAGACCTGACGCTGGGTACGTAACTCTATAAAGTTGGAAGAGAGTTTGGAGGCGAGGAAAAGGGTGGTGGGGGAGACAGGTGGGAGCCGAAGGCAAATGCAAAGCTTCTGGGCAGTTATTGGTTTCAAAATAACTTGCACGAGCGCTTTGCTTTTCCCGATGAAACACCAGAAGGGTCGTGCCAGGGGGATCCCTGCCTCGCCTCAAGGCATCCGGTTGGGACGGCCAGGGGAGGGGAGGGGAGCCGTGTTTGGTGCGCGTGTTTGGGGTGCGCGTGTTTGGGGCCAGTGGGGGGGGAAGTTTTGGGGTGACTTTTCTTGCTGCTGGCGAAATGCCATCTGCCAGCGAATGTGTGCATGCGGGGAGGGGGGACATCTGGGGGAGGAAAAGCTCCGAAACGTTAGTCCTCGGTTGCCGGAGAGAGGACGACTTGAGGACCCCTCCCCCGGCAGGGCAGGAACGGACTCTGGAGACGACCAGGAGGGATGAGGTGAGGGAGCTGCGAGGAGACTCCACCTGCCATTGGCCAACAGGGAAGGCGCAGAAGGACTTTTATTTGGAGGCGGGGGGGCAAGATGTTTGTATAAGGTGGCTGGCGGGTCTGGGGTCGGAATCCCGCGCACTGTTGCCTAGCTCTCGGTGCGAGCGCTTCTCCGGGAGTGTGGCGGCCGCGGAGGGCCCTGTTGTTCTGTGTGGAGAAAGGAGCTTTGGGGGTCAGCACTTGGGGAAAGCGGGGAGGGAAAGAGCTCGTCTGACAGTTTCGTGGAGGAGCCGCCTTTACTCCGAAGGAGCGCCGACGGTCGTCACGAGCCGACTCCGGCGCGCGTGGGAGGGAGCGCTTTTGCGTGCGTTCTGGACCTACAGAGGCTCGTGGCGATAATAGCTCGCTTGTAGGAGCCCGGGGGGGGGGTGCCTAGTTTTTGAGGCAATGAATTTGGATTGGTGGGTGGGAGGAGGGGAGGGGAGGGGGCAGTACACCGGTCTGGACTTCTTTGAGATTAGGGGAGTTGCTTAAATTGTTTCGGGCTGCAAAGAGAGGAATAAGACCGTCCAAGGGGCTTGGGGGGAGGAGGAGGGGGAAGTGTTGGGAGAGTTTCTGGCTCGTCTGGAAACAGCAAGACTAATTGCCATGCGCTTCCGGTTTGAAACTGGCAGCAGACAACATCTTGAAAATGAGTCACTGCAGCTCACAAAGAAACTCTGTGGTTTTCTCCTTCTCAGGTTTATGTATTCGCTCTTTTACGGTTGTCTTTGTGATCTAGAGAAAAAGGGAGCGAGCGAGCCTCCTTCCCGTTCAGCCGCTTCTTCCACTAAGCAGCCCCATCGTCCATTTTAAAGTTGTACACACCGTCGGTTTCACAAGAGGGAAGGGGGGAATTGTTTTTGGATCTGGCTTTGCTGAAGGTTAAGAAGGGACCGCGATGCTGCAGGAGGAAAAAGTTCCCTGAATTTTCCACTGGTTGCAGGAAGGGAGCCCATTTAGTCATGGCTAAGTAATGTCTGCACACACCAACTAATCTCATTAGGCGTTTCCGTTCCTTAACACAGGAGGGTTTTGTGAAGCCCTTTCGGCCTTTCTGCACTACTGTTGAAAGGGAGACAAGTTACATCTTTATTTAACGGAGATAGGGGGGATGGGGGATTGGAGCAAGCTAATTTAACGCTGCATTGGTCAATAGAAGAGCTTTGGTTTTGTAAATGTGGTTTATTGGTTTTAAAGCCTCTGTACAGTTATGACATTTTGCATATCGTGATGAACTACTATATGTAAAAGTATAATCACACTACTGGTAAATAAAATGATTATCTTAATAATGGATAGCTTCTTAAAAAGACAATCTGATTACAAACTATTAATCTAAATTATATATTTATAATCACAAGTGGACAATTGTACCATTTGAATGAACTTTCAAAGTATATATAATAACTTAAAAAACTTTTTTCTATTCTAAACAAACATTCTGGCACCAGATATTTTTCCAACTCTGATTGTATTAATGCACAACCCCCCCTTTAAAAAAAATCCAGAACTTGAAATCCATTAAATACATATGGAGATTATCATCAAGCTGTATTCTGAGAGTGTTTTAAGAAGTTTGTGCTTTTGCTTTGGATATCTGATGTGCAACCAAAATGAAACAGGCTATAGTTCCCAGAAGTAGGCTTGCTTGTAGAATCCCAGGGGACTATATGGCATTTTGGAATGACTTTCATCCATAGAATTTGTAATACTTTGCATCAGAATTTTAGTGAGCTATTCAAGCTATGATCATACCAGGAATGGGCATCCTTTTTTCTCTGAGGACTGCATTCCTGCAGAAGCAATCAACTGGAGGTTGCATTGTATGCTAATAGTGGATTGATTGAAGCAAGCAGTGGGTAGCAGCAGAGCCAAAGGCAATATGCGATGATATGCTCTCTTTTTGGTGTCCTTTTGCTGACTATTCTTTTTTCTTGTTCTCCTCACACAGCAAGCTGCCAGGGAAGCAATAAATTGCTTTTGACAAAGACAAAACAGTCAACAGTTGGTACATGAGCTCATTTGGCAGTGGGGAACTCTTAAAACAGAACAAAAATGAAGTTTGCTGATCAATTCCAATTTTGTGCAGGAAAATTGATGGATGCCAAACAATATCTGTCTTAAAAGTGGAGCCTGAATCTTTGGTATAAGAAAGTAATTGTGTTAAGTGTTAAAAGTACTAAAGTCCTAGGAGACCACACTGCATCTTCTGTCTGTGTTGATTAATAGATTAATTTTCTATATTGATCTCTGATTAGCTACCTGAACAGAAAAGTTCAGGATCACTGTTTTCTTCTTACTTAAAAATTTTATTCAAACTTGAGATTCATATTTTTAATTGAAATTTATGACTTCTAGGGCAAATCTTACCCTGAAAGTCATTATAAATCATATAGTTGTGCTCCAGGGATCTAAGTGGAATTATCTGTAAAGTAGCCTTTTGTGAGATTCTGCTGCTATTTTAATTTATATGTAACAAAAATGAAAGAGAAAGCAGAAAATACAATGTTTTTTTAAAAAAGTTATTTGTTTCATAGTGTCACATTTGTGAGATGAATGGCTATATAATTTTGATAATAAATGAATTAGCTAACTAAATATAATTCCTGAGTCCTAGAAATGATACCATTTAGAGGCTAATGGTTTGATTTCTTTGTTTTTCAGTTTCTGTTTCATTATTTGTATAATATAGCTAGCTTCCCTTATAAGAGTACTATGCTGCATTCTCTATGGAAGATACGTTTAGTTCCTTTACTTTTCTGGGTGCTTACTGGTTTCTCAACTAAATATCTTTATACCAAGTTATTGATTTCAGAGAGTTCCAGTATTTGTTCCAAATTTTGAATATATTTACTAGTCCGATTAGACTGATTAGAGTTACTATGTGAGGAGATGCATGGGCTCCAAATTTAATAAATAAAAATGATCTGATCATTCATTTACTATAGACTGTAGGCTTGCTTTCTGTTCACACATTCCCATGATTCCAGAATGGAATTGTAAACTGATGCTAGCTATGGTCTATATATTATGAATTTAGGCTGCAGAAAGGCCAAAAAAATGAATCACACTCTTTTGTATACATTCTAGACTTCTTTAGTTTTCTTTTCTGATTACAGTTCTTTGTGTTCATTATACACACACACACACACACACACACACACACACACACACGGAAGTCATGCTGCAAGATATTTAAATATTTTTAAATTGAGACTGGGATATAATTAGGATTTTTTTTCTTTAGTACAGTGCTTCTATTAAGCTGTATAGCTGTAATCTATTGCTGACTATCAGCTGGTTAGATAATACAATTTCTATTTCTATGGAATAAACTGTATTAGACATGGTGGTCTTTGTTTTAATTTGTGGTAGAACTGCTGCAGGATATATTTTAACTAAGTCGTTTAATATGTGTATAATATACCTTTCACTTCCGTAGTTGACTCATACTCAAATTGTAGAAATTTATTTAAAATTTGCAAACTAAATATTGATTTTACGTGCCACATTTAGCTCAGGTGTTGTTTGGTTTCCAGAAAGAGATCTGATAGCCTTGGCCTCTTCCTCTATGTCAATTGTAATCCTATAAAAAAGCTGTAATGACATATTTGTCATAGCTTTCTGTGCAGCTTTGTTTTCCACAATCATTCTGTAGTCTTGAATGATTATGTGAGTTAATTCTATTTGAAGGTTCTTATTCAGTGAACCAACTGGTATACTTGAATCTTCTGAGAAACACTTAAAAGACAAGAACATACTGGTATCTGTTCCTAGGAATTTTGCTGACTTAAAAAATAATGTATGATTAAAATTGGTGATAACTTAGAATAAAACATAGACAATAAAGGGCATTGATTTTTACTAAGCATCAGAATTGTGATAATGTAGAGTTGCTAAAATGTATATAGCTATATAAACGGGATGAATAAATAAATAATGTAGTTTGCCCTTTTGAAAAAGCAAATTTGATTTTTCTTTTTGGATTACCTATTCTTGCAGTATACGAGCAGTATGTGCATCCATGTTTAGGAACAAACTCTAAAAATACTCCAAAGAACTCACAATTCTCAAATGAAGTGCAGTATCTTAAGTCAGAATGCAGCCCAAGTTTAAAATCATATTCATCTGTTGAATTACTGTTCAGGAGAAAGCATTTGCATTTAACTCTGAATTTTAGAACTTGAAATGCAAAATAAACTTTGAAACTTTGCAGAATTTTCTTTCTAACAGAGAAAAAAAATGAATATGTTGGAAGGAGATTATTTAAGGCAATGATTTGGTTAATAGGAACATTGTAAGGATTTATTTTTCTAAACTTTTCATGATACAGGTTAGTTATTTGAACATGCATTCTGTATAAAGGTATAAACTGTTTAGTATCTTATTTGTAATATTAAACAACAATAATAATACATTTTGTAAAATTTAAGAATGTTCACAAGAGCTTTTTTATCCATTAAGAAGGATTCATAAATATCTTTATTCAATC